AGTTCCAAAAATCTTCCAAAAATTATTTTGACCTTTTCAGCATTTGTAAAATGCCTTACATTTGGATAGAATTACCAATTTAGCTACTGTATGCAAACTTTGGTTTTATTTGTAACTTTCAACAATTTTATTGATATCTTTATATTTTAACCAAATGAAAATGTTCTGTATAGTAACTTTGTTTCACTGAGGTTGGAAAATAGCACGTGTTTTGCAACACTATTTAAATTAAGGGTTTTGATGTCCTTTTTGCCATGTTTTCACTGCCATTTTCTTCTAGGGATTCTGCCTTTACAATACTACCAGCAACTGAACTACATGTATAAAATGGAAGTGGTATGTAAAATGAAAGTAGAACAGAAATGTAATGAATTCCTGGAGTCTTCAATAATATCAATTACAGTGGAATTTATTACATGGTACATTGAAATATGTATAAATACAATTTTTCACCTTTTACAGATGGAGAAAATGAAGTGCAAGAGTTATTGCAACAAAATGGAAGAATGTGGAACAGTGCCCTTATCCCCTGACTCCCATTCCAGCATCCTGTTTATAAGTAAAGGTATAACTAGTTCATTACATATTTTTCCAGATTGATACCAAAAAAAAGTGGATTAGAAGTGAAATAGCTTTCAAGACTGTAAACAGTATTGATAAGTAACACTTATAAAAACTGAAAAGCAAGATGAAGAAGAATCAACTGTGACTGATTTTTGCCATTGTGTTCAGGCTTCGAAGCTTTGCTTGTCAATAATAATTTCACAAAAGAAAGACAATATCCTTCCCTAATTAGTTGTTCATGTTGATTCCTTTTATGTACATCCACAAGTATAAAATCAGACTATTTTGGCTATAGTATATAGTCATAGAGTGTCATAATGACAGTAAGAGTCATTATGAGTGGATTTATGATAGAATCAATATTCTCAGTATAATAAGCAGGGCTTTCTAGTTTTAACATTAATTCCTGGGTCAGAGCAAGAATTGCTGGATTTCTGTTTCATTAAAAAAAACTTATAAATATACATTAGCAAAATATGAATGCTAAAATTAAAACAGTTTGTTCAAAGCTTGCCTTACCAGTAATTCTGTTCCACTATAATCTTGTGTAAAAGGAGTGCCCTTCTGCAAATTCATCTAGGAAGAATATTTGACACAGAGATAAAAATGGGGAAGACCTCTCTTAAAGTTTTTCCTAAGAAGCCTAACCTGAAATTCAATTAATATTTCAGTCCTGAAAATCTTTTCATTTGATATTCCCTTGAACTTCAGTTTGAGTACAAGGCCATAGTTGCATGAGAGACAGACCTTCAGTAAACAGGTCTGCCTCCAGTCAAGAGCTTAGGCAGGAATGCTATTCCCATGTGAAAGCAGAAGGAATCTCAGTAGAAACCTTTAATTGGTGCAAAAATCATGATCTTTACTAGGTGCAGCCTAGTAATTGGTGCAAAATTCATGATCTTTATTTCAAAAAGCAGTTGAAAGTTGGTCTTTCAGACACTTGGGACCACRAAATCCACGTGAACTAGACAGGCAGGGCAGCCCACTCCCTGTAAGAGCTGCTGTCTTGGCAGCATCCTGTCACTGTCATGGCCAGGAGAGGATTCTGACTGAAAGGATTAGATAGATCAAATGTGAATTAATTTTCCGCAGTATGTATGCACACAGCTTCTAGCAGTAATTTGGGAGAAGTATGTGAACTCTGTCTGGACCTGCCTGTGAGATGAAAGAACAGAATTTGCAGCCAGAGAATCAGTTACTAGATAAACAGATGACTAGTATGTGGAAGAAAATGCAGCAGAAAAAAAATAATTTAGGAATAATAATCTGTTCATAATAATTTAGTTCAGAGGCYAAAAATAAAGAAGCCACAGGAAATCATTAGTTGGGGAAAGAACAAAGAATACCAACTCAGTAGTAGACTTTAAAAGCATAAATTGCACCTGTAGTTAAGGAATGGGAGAGATGCCTACATGTTAAACAGCTGAACAAGAGTTGAACAAGAAATTGACTGTGAAACTCCTTTCTTCTCTTTCCTGATGGTGAGACCAAAACCAAGAACATATAAAGCAAACGATAAAAAGCATATTCTGAGATTACACGCCTTAAATCTGTGTTAACACTAGAAATAATCAGGTAAAGGTTTGGAGGAGTAATTCATTACAGGGTGTCCATCTGGTAATGGTGAGGATGCCTCTGCATGTGAGGCAGACAAGGTTGAGGCAGACAAGGTGCCCATGAGGCAGCAATGTGCCCCCGAGGCCGAGAAGGCCAATGGGCCTCGGGTGCCTCAGGGAGAGTGTGGCCTGCATTTACAGGGAGGTGATCCTGCCCCTCTGCCTTGGTGAAGCTGCGTGTAGTTTTGGGCTCCCCACTACGGGAGACACGTGGAGCTACTGAAGCAAGTCCGGCAAAGTCCTACCAAGGTGATGAAGGGCCTGGAACACCTTTCCTATGAGGAGAGGCTGACAGAGCAGGGCCTGGTCTGCCTGGAGAAGAAAAAGCTGAGGGGGAGTCTTAGGTGTACAAGTATCTGAAGGGAGGGAGTAAAGAGGACAGGATGAGAGGCAACAAAGTGAAACAGAAAACATTTTGTCCGAACATAATGAGGGTGACTAAGCAATGGACCAGGTTGCCCAGAGAGGCTGTGGAGTCTCCATGCTTGGAGATACTCAGCAGCCATGTGGACAAGATCCTGGGCATCCTGCTGTAGGGGACCCTGAAGGGCTAGGGGGATTTGGTCTAGATGATTTCCAGGAGTCCCTTCCAAACTCAAACATTCTGTAATTCTGTGTGGGCTAGTTCTAGTTGGGCTTTCTCCTTCCTAGAAGCCAATGCTTCTTGAGGATTTTCCGGGAAAAGGAAGTAAAGTGAGAATTAGTGCATTTTGTGAGGATACAGACTATGGAGGGTTGGGTCCACAAATGCATGATTAGTTACCAGTATTTCGGGCATATGTTTAACTTTTTCAGCTTCCTCCTGCTTCTGTTTTACTTTCATTGCTGCATGTGAAGTTCAGTGAAGTTTTTTTTTTTTTTTTTTTGAGTAGCCAAAAAAAGTCCCTGAAAGCTTTCAAGCACTGTTCTTATCTAAGAGTGAAACAAAATATGTTTGATGAAATATTAGGGAAAAAAATCGTTCTTTCACTTTTATTTTTTGCACTATGTAATATGTAGTGAACAGAAAATTAGAAAAAAAATGTAGTCAACAGATAATTACTATCAAACAAATGAACAAATATTATTCACCCAAAACACAAAGTAACCAGGTAACTTCTCCCTCAACTTAAGAGGCAAAATTAAGTTTGATCTTAAAGGCAAGAAAATGTACATTGCAGAATGGAAAACTTAGAGCAGATGCCTGTATGGAGAAACAGCCAACAGTGCAGTGCAACTAACCTTAGATATCAACAGAAAATCAGAATATGTTAGTGATAACTGAAAAAAAAAAATTACTCTTGAATGGTCAGTGTAGTTAATACCATGCAGTTCTGGATGCCCAGGTGATCTACATCCCCATCTGCTGCAGGAAAGCRAGGTAAACATCACTGGGTTTTTGTGACAACCAGCAGCACAGGCCAGTCCTGTAAGAGTGCAAGGGCAGCTCCAAGCAGCCAAGCATTTCCTGAGAGCAGCACCTGGGACTTCCCTCCCTGGGGCTCCTACCTTGTGGCTCCTGACCCTGTGCATGTTTTGGTGTGTGTCTCGGTATGTCACGAAATTGCACCCCCAGGAGCTGGTGCGTTTAGGTTTGTACAACGGCTGTTATGGCTGAACAATGTTCTTCAATCCTGTACAGCTACACCAAGGTCTGTGCCTTCTTTAGAAAGCAGGTAATTGATCTCTATAGAAATAAAAACGTTTTTTTTCTTAGTCATGAACTATAAACATCTTAGAATCATAGAATCATTATGGTTGGAAAAGACCTTCAAGATCATCAAGTCCAACCATAAAATATAAGGTACCCCCGTGTATGGAGTTTATGGTAGGCAAATAAAACTAGCTCTTACTAAAAACCTCTCTTTAAAGTGTCTGTATTCATATATTTAATAAGAAAGAACCAAATTGTTCACTAATATTTAGTTATTTAGTTATTAAATTAGTTATTGTATGTCACTACTTTTTGCTTCTTTTTCAACTAACATGCAGTTTTAGTTGCCTCCTTCCTACTTGAAATATCATATCTTGTGTATAAATTTGTTAATCAGTATGTAATACTGAGTAGCAATCTAGCAATTAATTAAAAGCTATGTAGACAATAATGCTATATATGTGTAGCTTGATTTGTATGTGTTACAATTCTTTRTTTTCTGTTACTGCTAGTGTTCTAACAAGCTGGACAACTGAAAATGTTGGGAGTTTGCTGTCTTTTCTATTTGTCAAGGAGTGGGCATTACACACTTCCTCATATTGCTCATAAACAAATGACACTTAAAGCTCAGTATATAATGGATGCTCTTGCTTTCTCATGAGAGTGACGGGACAAAATTAAAGGCGACAGTGATTGTACCCACTGACAGGTATGAAATAATGTAGGCTTAAAGCAGAAGTTCTTAAGTTGCCTGTATCATGCGTTATGTTTCATGAAAGATTGTTTCATTGTAGATGCACAAAAAAAAAGATGTGAAATAAATACTTGTCGTAGCCTTATAGTGCAGGTCCATTTTCAGAACTGCTGTCAAGGAGAATGTTTAGGTTTTTTGGACATTTTGCCAAATTTTTTTGTCCATTTTTTGAAGGATATTTGTACAGTATTTTCTACRAAATAGTTTACTTATTTCATTTTTAAACAAAGAGAAAATAAATGTGGAACATGGGGAAAAAAGCGGAAGTTGGAACAGTTGTGTTTTTGCTCACACTTTCGCTGATTCTAAGTGTAACGTCTGTGCTCTTGGTAGGTTTACGAAAGACACAAGACACCAGGCTTGAACATGCGGTTTTAATGTCACTGCAGGAAATGAAAATTTTAAAGCAAAACCACATTCAGCTTTTTTGAAATATTTTGAGATCTATTTCTGCCAACTAAGCAGGAATAATTTTCAGCAACTGCTAATGAAAGCATGTAGCTTACATTACTCTTTTAGCTGTAAAGAAAGTTTAGCATCAACAAAAACAAAAAGGAAGCATAAAGAAAATGAATTTATAGGCACAGAGCTTAAGATTTCTTATTATCATGGTGAATAAGGCGGTGGCAAATGTTCTCCTGCAATTTTGTCATATGCTGGTGGAGCATCAGGTACCTGTTGTAGGGAAAATGAAGGTAAAAGTATGAAAAACGTAGAGGTACAAGAAAAAGATAGGTTTTGCATCATATTAGTTTTTTAAATATATCCACCCAAAGAGAGAATTTTCTCTATTGTAATACATTTTAAAAGTATTATATTAAATTTATATTTATATTAAATTTACATTTAATATAAATATTAAATATTTATATTAAAACATTTAAGACTCTTCATGCATATATGATGATTGCTAATGTTAGCAATTTTGGCATCCTGCTTAAAACTGTTTAGGAATTGTCACATAATTACACTGTTCTCTTTTTTCAAACTATTTAAACACAACCATACCTTGACATGGATATTTACCAATTAATTTAGGTTAACTTATTTAAATTATAAGCTTTAATATTAATCTTTCCATAGTGATTAGARCTATGAGTATCTGAGCATTTTGATTCTTGCTTTATGACATTCCCTGACAGTTTTTATCTTCRGTCTACAGCCAGAGACAACCTGTTTGTTATTTGTCATAATGGCATAGCATCTAATAGCTTTCAATTAGCTATATAATTATGAAGTATATTTTAGCACATGGGTGTTACATTACTTCACAGCTAGTAGGTTGTGTAATGATCACATAGCTTAAGAGTAGGTGAAAGAATTGATTTTTTAAAAAAAGATTCTGAATAGTAGATTTAAAAGRACCATTTAAATTGTGTAAATTTAAGAACACAGTAAAAACTGTGCAGAATTCTCCCTTTTTAACAGTTAACATAGGGACCATGAAGACCCACTCTGCAGAGCACAATCCATGMAAGAAATCATCAACTGTGCACCCAAACTGTCACTGTGTCTTGCCATGTTGTAAATAAATGAAACCTTGAGTTGCAACTTACCACAGAGTTAAAGTCTCTGTACTCCCGCAGAGGCATTTTGCAGTCCAGGGTGGCTCCCTCTCCTACCACGGTCCGCACTGTGCCCACACTAGGGCTTTTGCTCTGCCATAGATCATACGGAAATACGGGATGGTGAGAAGAAAAGGGAACTTGATGTTGGAGTATAAATGATCTTTAACATTTGACAGCAGCTTCACAGTACATATTAGAAAAGTGGTATTAGCACCAGACACAGTGATAGCTAGTAAGAGAGGTTGTCTRCATAGCACTGTTTACAGTCTCTGCTAATGCAATCCTCTGTCCTCTTTGCTTCTCTAACAAAATCCAATTATATTGCCAGCAGGAATGAGAATCACACTTTTCTAGATCCAAGATTGCTGCAGGAGCTGACACCTTCTCAGCTACCTGAACCTGCCTCCCTCTCCATCGCCACATTTTTTTTTTCAGATTCTCTATAAAAAAAAATTTATTATGAAACATTTTTCCACATTTCTTTTGTTGACGTTCTGTGTCATTTCTTTCTAACATCCCTAAGCAGGATAAGAGTTGTCAAAACTTAAAAGCAGAGAGCTGTAAGTCGCTTGTACAGTTTTTCTCTAATGTGTGAAGAAGGCATGAAATAATTCTGATTTATGAATCCTATTTTTGAAGAATCTATTAAAAAAGTTTTTCAAAATTTCACTATAAAAGTTCAGATTTTGTGTGTTCTGCCAGTATAGAAATATACTGGATATGTCTCTAGAGAGTACTGGGAAAAAGTTGGACTAAGAAATGGAGTTGCTGACTTAGAAAATTTTAATTAAAAATGATCATGTCTTTCTAGCACAATTAACTAAAACATTTTTATCATAAATCATTCTAAAGGATTTGAACTGCCTTGTTTTCACAGGAGAGGGAACAGAACTCTGAACATAATGCTCTGAGACTTCAACAACAAATTTTAGAATGGGCCAGAATTTTCTAATTTTTAATATTTTTGAAGATGACAGAAAATACATTTTAAAAATATTTTTATGAAAGAAAAGTCAAAAATGTCTAGCTTTAGTAAATCTTAAAACTGCAAGTCAGCAGTCAAAAACACAAGTCTGCTTTCACACAAATAGATTATGCACCACCCATATATGAACATATTTACTTAGTTTGCATATAGCAGTTAATTATTTTTCTTGTCTTTTTGGAGCCATTTTCTTCATATCTCTCCTCACATACAGATAAATCTTATGAACAGAGAAAATGCTATTTTTTCAARCAAAAATACACAGAATATTTGAAGTATTATGTAAATCAAAAAACTGGTGTTCATAGATACCATTTTTTTCCACTGGTGTGTTTTGTGAAGCTGGGCAATCACTTAACCTCCATGTGCTTCTTACCCTTTAGCCTGGCTGGCAAGTGTTTCGAGACAAGGCTTGTTTCATGCTGTGCATTTCCACACCTCCGCATATGCTACTGTATGGACTGCCTGAGACAACAGTGTCCTGTTATAGACTGGATGTGCTGCAAATTACTGTAATGCAGATAATGATAATATGCTGGCAAAATAATGTGAGAGAAAGCGAGCTGTCGTGCTTACCCGCAGACTTTTGTAACCACTGCGTCTTTTGTAGTACCAGCAGCCAAAGATAAGTAAAATTGCCAGCACCAAAATGAAAATTCCAATGCCCAGAGCTCTGTTGTGGAAGCAAAACAAAATAATTAACAACAGAACTACATATGTACTTCAGTAGCAAGAAGAATGAAAGTGAACAGTTAAAAAATTATTCACAGCCTGTTCAGTGATACTCCAGTTCTTGTTGTGGGATGTGCTAGGCACTGTGTTGGTGTCCCTGGGTCGTTTTGGGGAACACGGGCTTAGCAAAATGTGCTGCGAGGTATCTTCCCCAGTACTTACCAGCAGCTCGTAAGTGGCACTGTTGCACTGTTTATCGGAAAGCAAGGCTATTGCAAGTTCCTAGTCAGAAAAAATCTCTTCCCACTCTAATGTTCTCTCTGTTAAGAGATCCAAGAAACAGCTCCCCATTTTTCTGTTCTTAGCCTGTTCTGTTTTTTTCCACCTCCCCTCATCCCTTTKTAAGGATGGTAAGTAACCATGGGAAAAGAAGAGACTAAAACCATGGCTGTGTGAATAGAAGAGTTTGGGAATTGCCTCAGGAGAAAAGAGGGCAGAAAAAAAGCTGGTGACATGAGCTGGAATAAACCCATTCTAACGCTGGTTTATCTATCCTACCATAACKCACTTTTATCCTGTTGCCACCAGGCTTTTCCACTGGGTTTGAGAAAAGAACTGTGACTTTTTAGAGAATATTTTTATTTATTTCTTATCGTTTTTGCTGATTCAGAGTTCCTGTGGTCTCCTTGTGCGCCCATGACCTAAGAAGTGTGAACTTAAGGAAATGGGGGAGCAGAGAAGGTTGTCTCTGCTTCTCGACTGCCCAGGTTCACCTTAAAGCAGGAAGCCCCTTGAGCCAAAGGGATTTTTTTATYATGCGTGGCTGAACCCTGCCAGTTACTTGTGCCACTTGCAAAAGGGTAATTTGTACTGGATGGAGATCAGGTAACCTGTCCCAGAAAAGGTCTCCCTTGCCGCCCACTYGCAGTTAAGGATCTTGGAAGCCGAGAGGTGGCCCCACTGGTTGTGTGACTGTCTCAGGACAGTAAACTCGGAAAGGCTTCTTCCTTCCCCAAGCAGCTGCTTCCATTTCTGCTTGTGAGACCGTTTTCCCCCCTTTAGCCTCATGTTCTGTCTGCGCTTCCAGTGTTTTGGTAATTAGTTCATATTYCCCTGGAAGCACAGATTTTCTCATTTCTGAAGTTGGTAATTTTACTGCATAGTTGCTGTCTAATTCCTTACCTATTACCTAACTCCTTACCTGCAATAGCAGTTCCTAGCAGTTTCCATTAAAGTTGCAGCTGTGATATTGGAAAGTTTTATTGGGTAATATCTTGGATGCTCCTTGCAGTCCTGGGATGAGACAGTAACTTTCCCCCACTATCTCCAGAAAAAACTGCATAAACACTTCGTTTTGTGTACTTGGAGTCACAATAGTTTGAGGTGARTGTGCCTAGTTCAGAGTGCTGAGATGTGGCGAGCCACCTTCTGGCTTGGAGAAATGAAATTATTTGGGAATACTCTTAGAGAGCCTTCACCTTTGTTTTGTCTTTGTGCCCACGGATGAGCATGGAAGGAAAACRTCTTACAGGATGCGTGCTGCACAAGTCAACAAGATTGGGGCCTGGCAAATCCCTACAAAAAGCACATCCCACTTACAGATACCCCAAGTATTTCAGAAAAATACGTCTAACGTCATAACACATCATCAAGAGGGTAGTGTCTTCTGTAGTAATCCAGGAYCCAGCTCACTGAGAGCTGGCAAAGTGTTAGCTTGAATTTGCTTGAATTAGTTCTCCTTAAAAGAAGTTCCTACCAGGAACAATTTTTTAAGAAGACAYCAATGTCTCCATCAGCTTATATTGGTATTTTTACTATTTCCATGTGGTTTTCACTTACATTATTCCTTAGGATGAAATAATGTCCCTTTGAGTTTCTAAAGACACAAATATGAATCTGGAGACAAAATCTATTGTAAAGATCACCTTACAACACCCTTAAAAGAATAATTTGAAATAAGCCTCAGTAAGCCTAGTAACCTTTATTACAAAGGTTAATGTATTGTGATAAATGATCAAAATGTAGATTCCAGAGTTCATGCCATTCTGKTTTTTTTTTTCAGTTATTGAATACTCTTTAAAATACTGCAACGATGGACATTACAGACAACTATGAAACAGCTGAACAGTACTCCTCTGCCTTCTATAGTTACAATCTTTTGTTTGTTTGTTTTATTTTTTGGTTTTCAGTAATTAATCCTGCTTGGTAATTTTCAGTGTAAAATTTTTCACCAGATTACATGCTAATTTAGGTTTTGCTTTATGCTTACTCTTCTGCTGCAAAATAGCTGTGTCCTTTCACTCTGAAGGAGTTGCCATCTGACTGGTGATTTTTTCTGGGCATTCTGTGAGCTTGGTCTTGTTCAAACCTGCCAGATAGAAATATAGGCTCTCAGCTAAATGAACAATATCTTACCTCTAAGGCATAACATATCAACATTTTTGTTTTGACAGGCACACTTTGGGGACCTGATGCGATATGATCTTTACAACCAGAGATATAAATATGCAACTATCCCAAACTAAGGCAGAACTCAAAGTTTATCTTTGAATAGGTGAATAGCTAAAGTTTAACTTTGATAGCTAAAGTTTATCTTTGAATAATTCCAGTGACATCAAGATACTCACACCTGAGTGTAACTAGGACAACCTAGACTGCTCCCTTTAGGTACTAAATGATGGCAGCTTTCCGAACAAAATCCCTTAGGAATATAGATATGAGGTAATTTTCCTGGACTAGAAAAAAACATTCAAAAGAAAAATTAATATTATCCTTACAAGTCATTTTTTCCATTCATTGTAAACACTCAAAGGCCAGTTTCTTGATCATAAACTGCCAGGGATGATCCAAAAATTATATTTGTTGACAATCTATATTTAAGTGTTCTACCAATAGGGAATTTATAATGTAATTTGAATTTTGCAGAATGACACCTCCAATTAAAATCAATCTAAATAGCTGAAAATCAAATTGGTCACAAAAAATACATAACTAACAAATCTCTCATTTAAATAGTGTTACAACAGATCCTATTTGACAGTACCCAACTAATCTACCCACCTTGTTAAAGAACAACAAAATTACTCAAGAGAATTCAGGCCAAGGAAAGAAAACATTTTTGGAACTCACTAAGAGCAAGTCAAGCCTCTTCAGACACATAATTATGAAGCAACACAAAAAAGTTTGGGTGGAATAAAAAAATACAAATCTTACCTCCTTCAGACCTGTACTCTGTCTGCTAGCTAAAGGCATGCACTGCTTTCTTCTCCTTGGCTTGATTTGGTTTTTTTTTTTTTTTTCCTCTTTGATCTGCTCTCTTATGACTATCACGAGTTTAAATTCCTTTCAGTACAACTTCTGACTGCATTAATTAGCATGAAAGAGGCAAGAAGACAACTTTTCCCTTAGAGTCCACATCCTTCCTTCCTATTGAGCAGCTCAAAAAATGTTCCCTCTCTACCTAATCAATACAAGCTGCTAGAATGGGCACTAAAGCACTAAATTAAAAGTTGCCTTGATTTAGGACTGGTTATTTTGTGACAGAGGGCTGGTCTAATCAGACTTTTTGTATGGATTTGACTCAAGTTTTGATTACCAACATATGTTATGCTATGTAAGAGCGTGTGGAAACCAGTAGGGTTGGAGCAAAACCCTAACCTGGCTGCTATTACACAGTAATAGAGGTGTCTCAACCTGGAGGAGCACAGCTTGCTCTGAGCAGCTAAGCAAATGCTGCTGAAGGAGCAGCTTCCCATTTCTCCATTAATGTGGGCCCTTCTCTACCCCATCACAGACTTTTTTTAAAAAAGCTTGAAGGAGCTTTATTATCAGTTATTTTTGAGACTTTAAACTTGTCTCTGAATGTTGTAGAAAATGGCTGATAGATTCAAAAGTGGACAGGAAAGATCACACAACACGGGACATCATGAGAGACTTATTTCCTCAGAAAACAGCAGGGAAGTTGTAACACGGCTATCCGAGGTGAGTGCAGTCCTGGGAAAGGAAAGACCTTTCYGCAGTCATCAAAGGACATGCAAAAGCACATCCTTTGCTTAATGATGTTGAAAGTCCTTGTGTTTTTGCCTTAGATGGCATGAACACCAGGAGCATCTGACAGTGTTTGCTAGAGACATTGCTAGAACCATCATTTTTCAAAGCAAAGTTTATATGGCATAAGGGGAAGACAGGAGAAAAAAATGCATAAAATTGCTCAGTTGGCCAAATGGTTCAGTGCCCTTTTTATATTATCTTGGATGAACTTAATAGGAGGTTAAAATGTGAAAGGAGAAGCAAAATTTCTGTAGATCCCCATGTGTGCAAAACAGTAAGATATACTATTGCTGTCCAGTAAATACTCATAGAAACATGCCAGCCTTTGTGTAGTGCTTTGAAAATGTCATATAATTCCTTAACAAATCATGTGTTTTCTTGAAGAAAAAACATCTCTGCGCTTCTTTGCCTCAGGCATTGTGGGGCTAGGGGTCRAAATATCAACTGACTGAATAGTTATCTTCTGAAGGACTCTCTTCTTATTATAGGGAGGAGAAAGAGAACAACTTTGTCATAGGTCTGCRGTGTATAAACATATAATGCTGATACTGAGAAGTTGGATATATGATGAGTGGGGTGAGACACCATGTTGTTCTGATCCCTGCTGTCTTTTACTAAACCTGTTTCTCTCTGGGCATGCTGCTAACTCCATTGATGTAAAGTTACTGGAATTTAACTGCATGTTCACTAGGTGTTATCATTGTAAAGAGACTGCACTTGTTAGCAGTTCAGCTGTGTCGAATGGAAAACATTTCAAAAAGAGAAAAGGATGGGAAAGGTAGAGAAACACCAATACAGTCAAGATGTCCTTTGGTAAGCAACAGCCTCTGGGAAACCGGATGATGGTCTGATGAGGCATGACAACAGGTATGAAAGAAATATGTTTATTTCTTCTTTTAAACAGAATAGCAATTAATTCTGTTGATTTCTGGTATGAGTGTCTATGACTTTATTTATGTACCTTGATAATCATTTTTCTATAAAATTYGAGGTTTATTAGAGCAGAGAAACCTAAGTAACTTGAATTCCTGATTTAGTAAAGGCTTTAGTATGTGTTTCACGGAATTTCAGTGTAAACTGGGCTTTTCAGTGCTGCGTCTACATTAACAAATAACACAGTACAGTAAGAATGGGTAAGAGGATTATACCAGTTAGTGCTGAGAATATTCAACTCTCCATTAAACATGGTTTGTGGGTTTACTTTGATTAAATATTATGTGGCATCCAGGGCTAAGTGGGTCCACTACATGTGTGCTTGGAGCTTTTTGGAAGGAAGCCATCCCACAAATTGGTGCCACCTCAACTGCAGGCCCATCTCCACATGCTGTGGCTAAGTCATTTTTGGTTTCTGTGGCCATGGAGAACCTGCTGGTAGAGGGAGAATTAGCTGGGAGAGATGGCTCCACCTCACCAAACTGGGCATGTGGTTGGTCTGCAGGCTGGCCAACCTGCAAAGCAGAGTCCTAAACTAGGAGACACAGTGGTGAGTTATAGGGACCACAAGGTCAACAAAACAGGGCTTTGGCGGGAGGACCTCAATTATTTGTAGGCCAAGGGAGTGCCAGGAAGGATTTGGGGTGAAAACTCTTGCCCCGTTCTGGGAAATCAGCTTGCTGTGATCTCACTGCAGTGCTGGAGACGTGGTGCAATAGCCCACGTGACTGGAGGCTACAATGGATGGCTAAAGGTTAGCGATTCGTTAGGAAGAGGCTGGAGGCCCTTTGGGAAGGTGAGGACAGGAGGGTGATGAGGGAGAGCCGCCTTTGCATGAGGGAGCAGGGGGAGCTCTACCTGGGCACGGGCGATGCACTGGCCTACAGCTTGGGGGTCAGGGCTCCGGCACCCACGTTGCAGGTGTTTCTTGTTGATATTATCTCTAAGCTTGCCAGCTTTTAGCATAGAGATACACGTTTGACTGCTGACCCTTCTCCTGCGGTGGTGTTTCTGCTCTCACAGGATGTGTTCAGCAGTTGAGCTCAATGGCCGCTATGCTGACCTTGAGGGCAGGGAGGAAGCGGTTGGCTTATYGGCCAAGTCTCCTAAGGAAACGGGGAGGAGGAAACAGAGAGGGAGGCTGCTGCCTTGTTGCTCTTCAGGGAGCTGCTCTCTCCAGGTGGGGAGAAGACAACCCCGCTGTGGGCTGGGGCAGCAGTGGCTAAAATAGGAGCTAGGGAGAGGGGGAAAAGGCCAGCGGATTGGGCCTTATAAGAGCTAATGCTCCTCTCTCTCGCCCTCCCTGCAAGGAAACCTGTACATCTCTCTCGCGCTCCCTTTGTGGCTCTCAGGAGAAGCCTGGTTTCTATATTTTCTCCTTGAAACACCGCAGGAGTGGTCACCTTTCCTGCCACACGGGCCTTATCCAACCAATCCTTCTTGGGACTAGGGCAGGAGCTCTGCAGAGGTCCAGACAGCATTTGTGAGTCCTGTTYGGCACTGAGCTGTTTCCTCCTTCCCGCCTGCTGCCTGGGTACAAGATTTGCAGATCTGGAGGGAGACTGAAGACTTCCCTTAAGAGCTGCTGCTCTCACGGCCTCTCTGCAGTGCCCCGTCCCCAAACTGTGACATTCGTGTGGGCCTAGTGCTGCTGTAGACCTGCTGAACGTCACAGCGGAGCCTCCCAGGCCTCCAGTGTGATCCCTTATCAGCATCTCCGTGGTGTGTGGCACCTGACGAGACGCCGCCTGCTCAGGTCCTGCCAGCAGCAGAGGAGCAAGGCGAGGGGCAGAGGACTCCTGCTGCACCCGGGCTCAGAGCCGCTGCTGGCCAGGCCTCTCCCTGCATGTGTCTGGGGCTGCAGTCCATGGCCTGGTACCCAAAGCCCTGCAGASCGGCAAGCACCTTGGTGTAGGTTCAAGTCTTCTTTCCTCCCTGATTAACTCCTGAAAGCAGTAGATGAAAGTGCGTTTTGAGCAGGGACAGCCCTGAGTGGAGAGTGGGTTGAGAAACTATTGCTCCTTCATCCTGCTAGTGTGCTGCTTGTTGCTGATGAGGCCTTGGCGCACAGTGGGAGCACTGAGTCAGTGTTAGCTCTAAAATCTGCCCCATTCTGTGGTACCACCCGGACAGACCAGGGYTGGCTGTGTCTCTAGGGGCTGCCTTGGGAAATCAGTTATCCAGAATTCCCACTGTTACAGAAGCTCACCTCATAACGGTTAATGCTATAGCTAGTTTTCCATTAGGGCTATAGCAGGTTGCCAAGCCTTCGTTGCACTCCTCCTCCTCCCTCCCGCCCACCTATGACTGACTCCGTCTGTGGGCTCTCCACTGAAAGGAAGTCAGTTCTGTAGCTGGGTTGTGTATTCCTTGCTCAGCCCTGTAAAACCAAAGCAGTGTAAAACCAAAGCTAAGTATCCTGCAGGATCTCTGTGAAGGAATGTGCTCTGACACAGGAAGTGGGATTGTGCTGTTGCTGCTTGCTCGTAGYGGCTGAACACAGGATGACCAGGCAGCTTGTTGCATTCTTCAGGACAGGGGAAGTCTTGTGTTGCAAATAAACCAAGGAGAGTGGGCCCCGTGGCTKGTATGATGTGTATGTTTCCTGCAAACGGTGTGGGAGAATGACGTGTAGCAAGACTMGAGTTCACTGGAGCCAACCGGAGTGACCAGAAGTTAAAATAGATTCCTGACGATATTGGACCAAACCACTGGAGGAGCAGAGATGGAMGGGGAGCAGCCCCTTTACTGTATCCACAGAACAGCTGAGGTGTGCAGGCAMCTTTAGAGGTAACGGAGTGCAGTCCCTGCTCAGCAGCACCGGGTTGCCAGGACCAGGACCAGTCAGGCTCCATAGCCTCTCTGTACATGCTTGTCCAGTGTGTAACCACCTTCTCAGTGAGGAAAGGTGTTACTAGGTGTAGAGATAATACCTAGCGCTCTGGATGGTATTGATGACAGAGTTCATATTTCTGAACTGAGGCTCGTATTTATGTTGACCTCTTGCATGCTGTATGACAAGTCTGGTAGATACTAGTGTGTAGRGGAGGTTTATTGATCCTTAAGTCAGTAAAACAGATGTGATGTCAGGTGGTTAATGAAAACAAGTAGAAGTTATGAAGAACTTATGTTTCTTTGGCATTTGATGGCATTTGTGAATGTTTCAATCCAGGTACTCTGCATGTGACATGGGATCACATGGTAGAGACTGCTCCAATGGCATGGCATGAGAATGGCACAGACCATGTTGGTAATTCTGTCATTTTTGTTAAATGATCTGCTAAAGAAACAAGTCAGCTTCCTTTCTCAGTAGCAGAGTGCATTTCGTGTTCCTGCAGATTTCTAGGATGGAAAAATGGACTCCAATTCCAGGGTCACCTGCCTTCCTAATGACCAGGACCCATTGGTCAACATTTCGTCTGATCTCAGATCAGATGATCTTAGAGGGTATCCTATGCTCATGTGTTTATCTCCATAGGCTTTGGCATAAGTGATGTGACCTTTGCCATAGCATGTGATGTGGCATATGCTAAAGAAACATGGTGAGATATTTGATCCATAGCTCCTTTGTATCAGTGGTTCTCATTCACAGTCCTTCATGGTGAGATACCAGTACAGGACAAGGGAGGCACGGCCCAAGCAATGTGGGTTGGAGCTTCTACAAGGGACTAGGCAGGACCTGGAATAATGTTTTTCTCAAACAAGAATCAGTCACAGAACTCAGCACTTCATGCAGCTAAATTCTGCAGTGGTTCTTGACAAGGAAGATAGATTTTAGGGCCTGTGTTGCATTTCTCAGGAACYATTTAAATGTAAAATAGTAAAGTAGTAAAATATTTTCATGCTTCTTGTAGAGTAAAAGCTATGTTTTTCTTTTCCTACTTAGTATCATTGACCTTCCATTTACCTTTCTCATAGTAGAGTTCAAGGCACAAGGTAGCTTTTATACSCAGGAAGAACAAGCCAAGGTGTTTTTGACCCTCCTATAAGAACTGCAGTCTCCTAAAAATCCTAAAAAAAMCACTTTTTTTTTTWAACTTATGTGAATAAAATGCACATCACCCTCCCTCTTTTATGTTGCTTGTAATTGCACTTCATACAAGTATTCCCTGGAGTTACGGTCCACAGGATCTTGGACTATGGTATTCACTGCACTTAGTTTCACCAAAGCAGCAAAGGATGCTTTTCCTGCTGTAAYACGAGTAAATCCAGTCCTGAAAGGAACCACATATTCGCTTAGCGATTGCTCTCCCTCGGGACAGGTCACCCTGTCAGTGAGTGCCCCGGTGTCCGGAGTCTCTGGGGTGAGCTCGCTTGGCAGGAGCAGGAGCAGGAGCAGGAGCAGGAGCAGGAGCAGGAGCAGGAGCAGGGTCTCCCTCTGCCCCGCTGCGCAGGGAGGCTCCTCGGCAGGTTCCGTGTTCCAGCCCAACGCGCAGCCCGGTCAGCAGCAGGGATCACCCCGGGCCTCACCCCGCTGGGCCTGGGCGCCCTCCTAGGGCGGGCCCAGCAGGACCCCAGTGTCCCTGCTCCGTGATGGAGACGTTTCTCCTCATCCCCCGAGGGGTCTCCCCGCGGCTGGTGGCCCTGGCTGCCCCAGCGAGACCTCCCGGCCCCACAGCCTCCCGGGGCAGCCCCGCTGAACCCGGCCCTGTTCCTGAAATGTCATCCCTGGGCCCCAGACTGGTGCGCCCGGAGCGGGTCCCGGGTTGCTGCTCATGCAGGTGCTGGGTTGCTCTTCGTGCTCTCACCCTCTTTTGCAGCCCATGTCAAACATGAAGAGGTGTCAAAGCAGAAAACAGTGACAGGGACTGAAAATGAAATATAGGATTTTAATAGAAAGTCAGAGGTGGAAATTGTGCAGGTTAAATGCTTCTCCATTTCTCCTGCAGCCAGTGATTTTGGAAATAGTGAGAGAAAAGTGATTCTGCTTAGAAAAAATATCAAAATTTTTCAATGTAAATGACTGAAAAATATTCCAGGGCCATGTTTTGAGACTTCATCATTCAGCATGACCCTTCCAAGGCGCATTCTGTAATCAAGTCCTCATAAATACTTGCTTTACTAGTGATTGGCTGATTTAATGTGCATTAAAATTTTGAAATGATTATTATTCTTAAGAGACAGGAAATAATTATTTTCTATGAATGAGTCATATTAAACTTGGCTTTACAGTTAAAAGTTTTAAATGACAGAAATTCCTGAAGTTCGTAACTAGYGGTTATAATTTTTTTGCAGTAGGCTTAGAGCTTTTAAATGCTAGGTTGTTTTCTTATTATTGAGTTTAAATGGATCCAGTCTTTCCACCCTTTTTTGCCTTCCCTTCATTCCAGATGAAATAAAATTACAAAAAGAAACACRTGATTTGGGTACATACAGGAATCTTTATAATCTCGTAAATCAAACATTCTCTCAAAATTACAAATATTTGCAAACATTGTCCTTAGAATGGCTGAAACACAGGACTAAAGAGAAGCTCACGAAACCATCCAGTCCATCCCCCTAAGAAGCAGAATTGAGCTTATTTAGATCATTGGTCATGAAATCTTAGGGATATTCATGTTCTTCTTAGCTGTCTGTTTCCACGCCTCTACTTCACTGTCTTTATTAGCGAGGAAGTTTCTTCAAATTACATTAGTCTTCCTTGCCATAAACTCTATCAATTACTAATTGCCTTAAGGAGGAAAGGAATCGATCCCCAGAGCTGAAATCTCTTTAGCTCAGTATTTTATAGATTTAAAGGCTGTTTTCATGCCCTGTATGGCCCCCTGCTTTCTGATGTCTTCTAATTCTTGACATTTCTCTTCACAGTTTCAAACAGTTTTCATTCTTGTTCCTCTTAATTCTCTGCAGTTCATGTTCCTTTTTGGTTTAAAGCCTCTCAAGCATTATTACTGACTCTATCTTACTACAGCACAAAAGACATTTGCCTTTTCTAATGAAGTGTGGTATTTGGCATTTTTACTTAATTTGAAGTGAGCTGTAACCTCATTTAGTTACTTGGTTGCCCTAATTTCTCTAATTCTCCTTATTCGTCAAACATTCCCTCTTTCACATGTGGGTATTTTACTTACTCCCCCTTACACCTAGAGCTGCACTTCTCTGTTTTGACTTTAATTATTCATGTTCTTCTTCAGTTTATCAAGTTCCAACTCCCGCCCTGTTGTTCATTTGCTTTTAATTGAAAACTGTGTTTATATACTTTTGCTTTCATAAAGAAGTTGCTAAATGAAAACACTGAACAATATTTGCCCCAGGTTGAACTTGTAGGATGTGATCCAGCTGGYGCCTTTCCCAGCCCGGCTGCAACAGCTGGGGCTGTGTTGGAGGGGAGAGTCTCGGTCTGCTGGTGCAAACCCCATGGCAAAGCAGCTGCTTTGACACCAGCTCTGCCCCATTGCAGCCTTGTGGGACTGCCATGAAGACCTGCGTGGTCAAAATGCATCGTCAAGGGAGCAAGGCAGTGGTTATGAGTGTTGCTTACTTGTAAACTAAAGATGTTTTTCCTGAGTTTCATACATTCCTACCAAAAACATTCATCAGTTTAAGCAGATCCTAATGACACTGAGTCTGGAGAAAAGAAAATAATCTGGCAAATCCTGAAATGTTGCAAGATGTGCCATGCAGTCACTCTACTACATCTTGCTCTTGATACCTTCTGTTCTGAAGTTTCAGGAAGTGAAGAGAAGGGTAGGACAACGCCGATTTTTCTGGTTTGGTTTTAATCTGGTTTTCTTCTTCTCGTCTCTGTTGAAATTGATCCAAAATAACTAAAAATACAGCAGATAGGATAAGAGTGGCTCCTGCCATATAGAAGCCAGCTCTGTAATCTCCAGCCATGTCCACAATCAGACCTGGATGGAAACAAATGATGCATAAACATGAATGTGACCCCTTGTAAGGAGAGATGTGCTACATTTTGCAGGTCCTTACAGTACAAGTGCACAGACCACTATTACTCCATTACAGCATTGCTAAATTAAAAAAAAAAAAAATGACATTTCTCATTGATTTTGCATAATGTAAATTGTTAGTAAAACAAAATGGTCTACAGTCTGAAGTATTTTCCAACACAAAATACAGCAGATAATAAAGGTAATGGCAAAAAAAAAAAAAAAGAAGAAAAAAAAGAAGTCTGTTGCTGTAATTTGGACCATAATTTTAGCATGTGAGAGCTTAAAGGAAAGGAGAGGCCTCTACTGGAGAGACAGAGATTGAAAGCTTCCTTGCCGTGCTTCTTGCTTTCCTCTTAATCATTTCTCAAAGAATCATAGAAGCTAATGAGAAAGACCCTGATTTTTAGGTAGCTTTAAATGGTGCATCATACTGGGAAAAAAATAAATAAATACCATAGCCCTACTACAGTGGTAAGGGCTGCCCTATGGGTACAACTGCAGACTCATTTCTGSGCTGGTGAAGGCTGCTTTACCAGTTTCCTGCCATTGAAAATTTGGTCCACATTTGGTCCTGGACCAGTTTGAAGGTGATTCACTAGCCCTCATTCCAACCTATCATCAAACCTTGGCCAAAGGAGTTCTGAAACCAAATCCTTTAGATTCTGCTTTTAAAGTAAGGCTGCAGAGCAAGTAAAGTCCTTAGGATTTCCACCTCTTTCATAACCTCGTCATTTAATAGTGAGCACACCTGGCATAAATCTTTWTTTTCCTAGATAATTCTTGTTAACTTATTATATATACACCAAGGGGTCATACAGATCCCCAGGCAATCAGTACTAGTGACCAGGCACTAAACATATAAATCTAATTATCACAGAATCACAGAATGTTCAAGGTTGGAAGGGACCTCTAGAGATCATCCAGTCCAACCCCCTGCTCCAGCAGGGACACCCAGAACACGGGACACAGGGCGGCATCCAGGCGGGTTTGGAAGACCTCCAGAGCAGGAGACTCTACAGCCTCCCTGGGCAGCCTGTGCCAGGGCTCTGGCACCCTCACAGGAAAGAAGTTCCTCCTCACATGGAGCTGGAACTGCCTGTGTTGCAGTTTGTACCCATTGCCCATGTTGCAGGTTGTACCCATTGCCCCTTGTCCTGTCACTGGCCACCTCTGAGAAGAGTTTGGCCCTTTTTTTCTTTACATTGTCCCCTCATGTACTTTTGCATACTGATCAGATCCCCTCTCAACCTTCCCTTCTCCAGGCTAAAAAGGCCCAGCTTGCTTAGTCTTTCCTTGTAAGACAGTATGTGTCATTTGGGACCACATCTCAAACACCACCTATAAGATCCACCTCAAACGGAGCAGGGCTGAAGGGAAACAGAGCAGAAGAACAGGCTGAACAAGCTCCCGTTGTATGTGTGGAGTTTTTTGCAGACTCACATAGACAGTCTCTGCCTAACAAAGTCACTTCTTAGAAGTGACTCACCTTAGGGCACCCTCATTATGGTTTCACAGCTCACAGGTCCTCCCCATTCAGGCCCCCCAACTGATGCTGTCCCAGGAGCAGGTGGCATTCAGGATCTCTGTGCACTTGATTCTTCCAGGTTCTTCCCCTCACATCCCCTGCCTCGCCAAGTAAATCAAAAAATGATCAAAGCAGTGGCATTTCACCTGTGTGCAGGACACAGATGCAGGACCTTCTGTGTGTGCAGGACCTCCATGTACTTATGTCCMTTTACAGCACCAGAGCAGAGCCAAGCTCAACAGCGTCTTCTAAGCTTCTCCTCCAGCATCTCCCGACCTCAGTGGCCAGTGCGTGGCTGGGGTTGGGGCTGGGGCTGGGGCTGGGAGACCGGATGAGCACCATGGATGAATCCACGCTGCTGTCCGACTGGCACCAGGAGACCGGCAGGAGGTGACACCCCCTTCTCTGATCTATGTCCCCATATTGGTCTTTGCTGTAATATGTCTCTGGGCCCAGGTGCCTCTGAGCTAACAGGGGAAAACTTGGGCTCAGGTTCAGATCTCTCAGTATGGGTTTACTTTCTACTCATAAGCTACACCAAGGAGTTTACCTCTTACCTGCAAGAGGAGGCCCCAGGAAACCTCCAGTGCTTCGAATGAGCATGAAGAGCCCCAGGGCGCTGTCGAAGTCCGACATGCCTACGACGTCTGCCAGCACCGTAATGTGGATGGCGACCGTGGTGCCGAAGAAGAAGCCGTAGAAGCTGGTGAATATTGCCAGGGACAGGTAGCTGTTGGCCAGCGGCAGCAGCATCAGGGAGGTGCTGATGAGGGTGATGGTCATTGCTAGCAGGTGAACGGTTCTGGTGAGGTGCAGGTTGGCATACCAGCCGCACAGCAGCCTGCCTGCAAAGTCCACCAAGGCCAGAACAGACAGGAGGGAAGCAGTCCATGACTCATCGATCCCGAGGCTGTAGCTAAGYGGAACTAAAAACAGTGGAGGAACAAAAAAGCTCATGGCGGCCAAGATGCCAAAAATGGCATAGAGCACAAAGTCGAGTCTCCTCAGAAGCATCCAGTTGAAGGTCTTGTGTGCGCCAGGGCCCTTGGCTTGCCCTCGCCCGGGCGCCTGTGTGCCATGCGCCAGCTCCGCGTCAGGACAGCTCCTGTCCGGGAGGCAGCCCCGTTTCAGCGGTCGCATCAGCGCCCCACAGACACARATGTTGAGTTGGATGCCCCCTATGAGCAAGAGGGCACCCTTCCATCCATACTGACCAATCAGCCACTGGAAGAATGGCCCGAAGGTGAAGGCGAAGGCACATTCCCCAGCGCTGGCTATAGCATTGGCCAAAGCCCTTTTCTCGGAGAAGTAATGGCTAACAATACTGATGGCTGGTATCCATGAAAAGGAGATCCCAAGTCCTGAAAAACACCAGTACAAAGAACTCCAGTTGGACAGTGATGGAATATTGTATGTATGAAGGTTACAATTAAAACAGTAAAAGTTCCTTATTTGCAAAGTTAAAAAATGGGAAATAAAAAGAGTTTTCTTTCTAGCAGAAGCATCAGCTCAGCTATACAATTTGTTAAAGTTTATTTGTGGCACATATTCTGTGCAAATAAGTTGATGCTTAAGTAGCAAAACATGAGCATGATTACATTTATTTATTTATTATCACTGTTATTGATACATTTATGAATACACTACAGTATTACATTCTGATTGTGGAAAAAAAATAGCTGTTTTAACAAATTTGCTGCTAGGTGGAAAACATATTTTCATGTGGTTAAAACAAAATAAAGGATCTTAGAATGTTAATTCTCTCCTAATTAAGGACTCAATGGGAGTTCTTATAAGTACTCTCTGACCGGTCTCTAAGGACAGAGGTGAGATCTCTGGGATAAGATGAGCTGTGCTCAGGGTTGGAAAATGGAGGAGGATGTGAAGGATACTAATATATTCACATCTTTACACTCTTTTTCTGGATAGATCTTGTTGTCTGCTCTTTCTTAAGAATTTCCTCAAATTTTAATGGCTTCCAAGAAGCTATTTGGCAGACCCAGAACCTCCAAAAGGCTCTAATTCCRGACATTTTCTTCTGCATCCAACATGGATCTGGGAATGATTTACTTTATTTCCTGCCAGCTTTACCTCCTGTTCCAGGAAAATCTCCTAGTTGTTTAAGACAGCTTTCTGCCCTCATTTAACCTGAAGTAAGGCAAAGGATTGGAAAGAAGGCCTGGGCCTGTGATCAAAAATGTAGGACTATTTGACAATAAWATACAAAATTTGGGAGCTCTACATTCTTTTCTTTATCAGCCTTTAGTTCACAGAACCTTTCACTCCTTGGGGAAAAAAAAAAAAAAAAAAAAAAAAAAAAAGGATAAAATGCTTTTAATTTTCTGGTTGCAAATAATTTCCACGTGATAATTCTTGTCATCTAATTATTATCAAACTTTGTGACTGCAGTTTTCTAGGACAAGTTTTTCCTACTTTCAGAGCAGGACATGAGGAAAACAACATTTAAAGCTTGTTAATGATTCATTATAAAAATCACAATAGGAATCATATTTTAAAACTCCTACATCTGCACCATAAAATAAGGGCTCTGATTTATAATTGAAAAAAAAATCTCTAGAGCCATAAAGCCATACCCTGCAGGAAGCCAGTTGTTGCATACATCCAAACCATGTCGAGTCCAAGAAATCCCAGTGCCATTCCTGAAAAAGCAAGGACTCCTCCAGTGATCACAACTGCCCGATGAGTGTATCTCACACACAGTGAGCTGGCTACGGGGGCTAGATCAAAAAGATAAGAGCAAGATAACATTACATTAAGAATACGCACCTGATATGCATGACTGTACAATCAAATAAAGCATTTGAGTAATTAGCTGTATAATGCCCACCTCAAATATAGTGTTTTGTTCTGCAAATGAGTGATATGTGTGTGTAAGAAAGAGAATGTCGCAATTCTGCTGGAAAAGGAGGAAAATGTGGTACTAAAATTGGATGTTTGCTGATAGAGAAGGAAGACCTTTCCAAAACATATTCTGAATATGTGAAATGGACTTTTTTATGGAGAAGAGCGTGTCAGTAGCTTGTTTCCAGAACAGCTCTGTTCAGTCATAGCCTATTTAGATTAATCTATAAAGTTTTATTATTGTCAACATATCTCTGGTATGGCTGGCATGAAAATTATACAGATAAAACTAATCCYCTTTTTAATTTCTAGAGTTTGCAAAGTCATGTGTTCATGGATTTGAAAATACTTTCTAAACAACAAAAAAATCCAGAGGTAATTTGCAGAGATATTTTCTCCAGGAATTCTACGATTCATTTCTTAAATTTGTTTTTTAATGTTACTGTTTCCCTCATGGATTGTAAGAGCTCTTCAACACACAAGAGAGAAAAGCTGCATGATCTACAGAGTTTTTTTTCCCAGACACTCTTAAAACTTGATGCAGAAATTCCTCCTCCCAAAATCACAAAGAATCTGTCTCTAGACACTGTTTGGAAGCACCAGAAATGATTAACAATATTTTTGCTTAATTACAGATCAGTTATATTCCCTCGCTCTTCTTCTATCAGCATCAAAGAGACAAGATGAAGACTAAACCTGTCATCAAAAGTCATGCATGGTGGAGACCATTTCAAACCAGAAAGTACACGTTTCTGTGAAACAGCTATAGCCACTAGAGGGATCCCGGGTGATACAGCGCGTCGTCTGTCGCTGGGTGAAGTTCATTAGTGAGTATAGGCAGTCAACATCATCCATCAGATGGCTGAGAACCTACAAGCTAGAGACCAGGGATACACTGAAAATTCCAATGAATTTATAAAAACCATTGCTGTAAGCAGAAATAAGAAATAACGAGCAGAATGTAGTCAGCACAGGAGGTTTTATATGAGTTTGTAGGGGCAGGCTGTTGTGTATTTGCCTGTGTTAAGAGAAGAAAGAAGGCAATTTGATTACTGATAAGTGAAATAAACCTAGCAGACAGGCATTACCTGGTGCAGAATGTGTGGCAGGTACCTGATAGAAACTATATGAACCCCCAAATGTCCCATCAGCATTTAAAGTAAAAACACCATGTTTTGATAAACAGGTAAAAATGATGCAGGAATCTGTTCTTGATCTGAAAGATGTAGCAAAGGTGCACAGATTTGGGAAGTCATACATACATGATGAACAAAAAGAAGGGATAAGTAGGCTCTGGARTAACGAGGAAGAACAACAGAACTGCTTTATTACAGAAGAAAGATGAAGTTGAGCAGAAATACTACTACAGAGAAAGTTTTTGTGGTGGAGAATGAGCAGCAGGGATAGGTAGAAATTAAACATGGGATAGCAGGTAAAAGAAGAAAGAGAAGCCAGCTCCAGAATAGGAACTGCTGAAGACTGTTAAGGTCAGAGACTGAGAGGACAAAGGACAAAAAAAAAAAAAAAAAAAAAAAAAAAAGAGGAGAAAATGATCATTGTGCAAAAGTAAGAGGTAGAGGCAGTTATACATTAGTATTGAGATGTATGCAATGGGGGAAATTCTTGCTGTGATAACTGAACTGCCTGCTGCAAATGCAACCCCAAAATTTAGAAGCATGCGCTGTCCTTCCATGCAAAAGACTGGGGCTACTGTAGATCCAAATAGGAAAATTGAATAAATCACTGATCATACTTAATACTGAGACAAGTGACACTGAAGATTTCCCACAGGAGCATAATAAGAATGGCTAGATCAGGCCAGGAAAGATGCTCAGTGAACTGGAGGCCAAGATGATCTTCAGCAGAAAGTCTTCTGGGCCCTAGAAATGAAGCAAAGGCAGGAGAAGATAATGAAAATTACCTAGTGACCTGAGAACCATGAGTTGCTATAGGAAAATGTTCTGGAATATTTGGGCTTCAGGCTGTATTTATAGAAATAGAATTACTTTCAGAATGTCTTGAAGGATGGAAGATCACTGCCTTTTTGATGAAAATTATAGCTGCTTTCTTTGAAGTAGGACAAATCTCGGCTGTATTTATTCAACAATATTTTGTTGGTTTATAATTTCACTCTTTCTGCTATATCCTTAATGAATTCCTATGTAATGAAAATTCACATTTAAAACAGAAAATCAGAGGGTTGAGTCCTTTTATAGAGACATTTTTTTTTTCTGATCAAGTTTATAAGTGTGAATGACAAAACTTGCAAWGTGAATTGATAGTATCCTCATCATTCATTTCTGTAGTCCATGAGGAAGGTGAGAAAATAGGCCTCAACTGACTTTTTAATAAAGCTCAAATACCACAAATTGAGCAATAGAAATAACAGCTSATGGAACTGATAAAATGTTGTGATATTTATTTTCTCTTTTGTATTATTATTTTGTTCTTCTGAACAAAGAAGAAAATGCTTTTCAAAGGAATATCAGTTGTTCGTGATCTTTAGAAGTACTGTAATTACAAACAGTAATCCTGACAGGTGTGAACTGAGTAGGATGCCTGTAATCATACATTATTGTGCAAATGAAGTGTCTTCACAAGCAGAACTATAATAGCATTTATTGCACAAATATACTTACCCATTACAATCATGTACCTATATGAAAATATGCAGAGATCATCACAAATCCAGTACAGCTCCTACCCGCACATTTGGCATGGTGAAAAATGATCTTATTTACAAGACTGTAAAGGACTCGGAAAAGGACTACTAAGCGAAAAGCCAAAGAATGCATATTGCACATGGGATAGTTTTCCCTTGTTATTTTGGTGAGTAGTTTAGCTGATCAAACAGCTCACTACCTTTGACTGGGATAGTTCACTCTGTCTTCCTTTACTACTCTCTGCTTGTATGGTCTTGCCTTCTTTATACTATGTATCTCTGGATGAATAATTTATAATTTAGCTCTCTGGTAGATTAAGGACTTTAAGTAGAGTGTGCCAGAACAGGCAATGGGCAGTAGGAGAGGGATCTTGGTGAGGTCAAAAACGAGAAATAGGAGGAAAGCAGGACTGAGAACCATCATTTGGGAAATAGTAATGACCAGCAGGGTCACACCTCTTTTGTTTTATGTACATTGGAAAAGGTAATATTCACTCTGAAATTAGTGAGCTTGTAGAAACTGCTTTATGAGCTTGATTCAACAAGCTGTGATGTTCTTAGGCTTTCATGTCTGAGGCATAAGTACATCTGTATGAAAGAATGCAAATACCATTTTTTCTTTTTTGCAGAAAAGACAAAAGAATTGTTCTTTCATGTTCTGCTTTTGTGGATTTCTTTTTTAATGGAATCTCTTTGAAATGTCTTGAGTAGTTAAGATTTTAAAATAAGTGCTGGAGTAACAGTTTTACCAACCTCCTAAATGAAAAATGGCGATTGTTATWGATGTGATCCAGGAAGTCATGCTTGCAAGTTCATCAAAGTGCTGCTGAATTTCAACAAAGAACAGACCAAAAGTCTTGAGGACAGCAGCAGTGAGGCCCATCACCACAAAGGCTGACACAACCACAACCCATCCATAGCCACCATCCAGTGAATTGCTCTCTTTGACCAGCATCTTTTTTTACTCATCAAATCTTATCTCAGTTTCTTTGTTGTTGTTGTTGTTGCTAGGATGTGATGGTGGTGAGGATTTTTAACAGATCTGCAAATCAGGAAAAGTCATAGTGTTAAAAAAAATAATTAAATTCCCTAGGAATGGCTTACACAAATAATTTCCAAGGGAAAATATAACATGCGTTTCAGTGGTTTGTTTTAAAATATTAACTTAGAAATAGGTGTGCCAGGAGACAAAAGAAAGAGAAGAAAGGTTAAAAAATAAAGAAAGGAAAAATACTCAGGTCGGGAGGACAAAAAGAAGGATGTACAAGTGAAAATGGGAGAGAATATGGTGAGAGGAGAGATTAAGTTGTCATTAAGATTCTCAAAGACAAGTTTAGTATCTTACTCATCCTAGTAAAGTTTTAGAATTCTACCCCTTCTATTTTTTTTAAAAAACCCAACATAGTATAGTAAACAAGAAGAAAATTTAATGTCTAACATAATTCCATATTTTCTAATGTTCTCTAGGCAATGAAAAGGTTACAAACTAAGTCTGTAGCAGCTGCTGCTTCTAGGCATCAGCTAAATAACCCCAGTCAGTCACAACTGTACATGAGGACAAAGTATAATTATATTTCCTATGTGGTCGTATGAGAGAGATCATTATTGTGACTGAATAGGAGGTAGAAAAGGTAAATATCCCTGACCGTCAAAAAGAAGGAAACTYGGCAGTTTCAATCTTCTAGGAATCCTCAGAAGTGGAAATTAAAGACTACCTCACTTATCTGTAAGTCTGAATCCAGTGGGGTTTCCTTTGCTGAATTGAATCTCTCTCTGAGAGACTGAAGCTTCTTTCCGTCAAATATACTGCCTTGTCATTTAAATGACATTTAAAAGCAGAAAAAGAAAAAAATTTTGGTAGGTTTGAATATGGGATAGTCTAGACCTTGATACTGACTTTTTAATCATTGCATAAATTTTAGGAAGATTGAAACAATCTTTCTTTTTTGTGCATAGTCTTTCATATCCTAGGTGTACTGGTAATTTTGACTAAAGGGAGCAGTGGGTGTGCAAAAACTTAACGTTCAAATTATTTTGAAACACTAAGGATATGAACATTTATAATAAATTTTCTAATTCAGAACCAGGACAATGATTTCTTAGTAATTCCACACGCAATAGGTCTACACCCAAAACAGCATGAATGCAGTACTGACAATGGTATTCAGCATAGAAGTGGTTATTCTTGTCTCCAAGGAGTTGTATAGTAGGGGACCAGTGTTAGATATGGTACTAGAAGTCTGGACACTACCTGCACAATGTGAAACTATGGAGCTCCTTGACACAAGGTACTACAGATACTAAATCT